AGATTTAGATATCATTATTATCCAGTCCTTTCCAGCAGGAACATCAACTGCACGTAAGGAAGTTATTTATTTATTTATTTGGACACATGAATATTGCTACAAGAGAGCGCCAATATATATGCGCCACACAGAACAATGAATATTCGAATAGGAATAAAAAGAAAGAAAAAACAAGAAGCTAAGGAGCACAAAAAAAGAGGGAACAATAACGAAGAGATTGATGTAAGGTAATGTGCTAGTAAACAGGGAACGCAAAGGTACAATCGGAAGAAATCTTTCAGGTTAGGGAGACACAACCACATTTTATGAAGAAAGTAAAAGAAGGTTACAGCAGGATCGCCACTAGCTTCTACTCTGAGCCATATTTCATAACGTCTCTAGCCACTCTGTCGCACCATCTCTCGGACCCCAGCCAGGGAGTCGTGAAGAACCAACACAAGCCAGTCCTTTGAAGCTTTCTTTCATACCACGACACCATATCATGCACTGACCACCTCTCCGCTTCTTCCAACCAGTCCCAGAGTCGGCAATTAATGCACGACGTGGAATTCTCTAGGACGACATTCGTAGAACATGTTCAAGCCAACAAAGTCAGTGTTTCAAGATGGTGACACCAATTGAATTATCATCTCTGTGCCCGAACACACGATGCCGAATCTCTGCATTACTACTAACATGGTGTTGCCACTGGATATCAGCAATCCTTCGGAGACAACGATGATCAAACACAGTGAGTCGTCTAACATCCTCAACTCGGAGAGGCCAGGTTTCACAAGCATAGAGCAAAACTGCTCTCACCGACGCGTTGTAGATCCGACCTATTACAGCCAGACTAACGTCACGAAGGCGCCAAAGATGGCCCAGATTAGCATTAGCCGCTCTGCCTTTCACTATACGTGCATTGATCTCATCACTCACGCCACAACCAGCACTTATGCAGCTACTCAGATACACGAACTTCTCGACTACGTCTATCTGTTCACCATCCAGGGTTGGAATCCTGCCAGTCTTGTAGAAGTACTTTGCACTTCGAAGGTGCAAAGCACATACCATACCTACGGACACTGATTGCCAACTGATTAAGTGCGGATTGCATGCCTTGGGCATTATCGCACAGTAAGACAATATCGTCCGCATACTCAAGGTCGAGAAGTCTTTCTCCAGGCAACAGATCCACACCGCCATTACTTACATCCATCAGAGCTGCTTCCAGAATGTCATCGATGGCAAAGTTGAAGAGGAATGGTGAGATTAAGCAACCCTGCCTAACCCCACTGCTCGAATGGAACAATGGAGAGAGGTGGTTGTATGCCCTCACTCTGCCTGAGGTGTTTGTCTTTAGGGCCTTTAAGATGTTAATAAACTTCTCAGGCACACCCTTCTTCAATAGACGATCCCAGAGAACAGTCCTGTCCAACGAATCGAAGGCAGCCTTGATGTCAAGAAACAGTACGATTGTTGGCCTTTGACAAGAATGGCGATGTTCTAACATTTGGCGGAAGGTGAAGATATGATCAATACATCCTCGACCGGAACGAAACCCAGCCTGCTCTTCGAGAGTCAACCTTTCTCGGGTTTTGAACAGCCTACGAAGTATGACGGAAGCCAATAGCTTGGACGCAATCGAAGTAGACTTATCCCCCGATAGTTGTTACAGGAACGACGTGAACACTTTTTAAAGATAGGGACAACTATCGACTCATTCCATGACGTTGGTACACTCTCTAGTTCCCAAACCTTTGTAAACAACGTCACCAATTCCTTAGTCAAAAAGTCACCACCATCTTTAAAAAGAAACGGAGGTAAGTCATCTGGGCCAGGTGATTTGTAACGCTTCAAGAGTTGGAGTTCCTTGCGGACTTCCTCCTCGTTTGGTGGATCAGTCGTCACCGGCCATGGAGGGCAGGACAGTCTGACCGATGTTGCCGGAGCAGCAGGCCAGTTGAACTGCCCTTCGAAAAATTCTGCCCATCGTCCAAGACGTCGATGGATGTTAGTGATTGGCATCCCATCATCCTCGCAGATTGTTTCACTCACACCAGACTTCTTGCTGCCAGTGGCTCGGATGAGCTGGAAGAGCTTCCGATAATTACGAGATGCAGCTGCTGCTTCCAGCTCATTAGCACGCTCCGACCACCAGGCTTCTCGGTACTTACGCATGCTTTGCCCAATTTCCTTACGTAACATCCTTCGTTTGTGGTCAAACTCACGGTCACCCGGAGTAGACCGACGGGCTTCAATGAGTTGTAAGGAACCAGAAGAAACCCAGTGCTTATAAGCGGGACGTTTTGCGAACCCACAACTGACTGTACCCGCCATTTTCATGGCGTCATGCAATTGCAACCAATGCTCATCTATACTTTTCGGTGGAATGGTAGCTAGCTCGGTTCGATACTTATTTGCAACAGAAGTTGCAACCAGCTTGCTAATATCAATCCGTTGATGGCGGTCACTTCGTTGTCCACTGAAAAGTAAAGCAAGATTGGCGCAAACCAAGGCATGGTCAGAGTCCAGATAGGTACTCCAAAAGGAGCGGCCGTCTTGTACACAACCACGCCAGCGATAGCTGATCGCGATGTGATCAATCTGAGTCCAGGCTTGGGATGCAGAGGGAGGACGCCAGGTGGCACATCGGTGATGACTGTGCCGAAAGTTAGTGCTAGCCAGAAACAGGTTGTGGTCTGTGCACAGTTGCAGTAGACGGTCCCCGTTATCTGACCTGCGACCAACGAGTCCCCATCGGCCACCTAAACGACTCTCTTCTGTGCCTAGACGCCCGACCTGAGCATTGAAGTCTCCGGCTAGTACTACAATATCTGTCGAACGCACTTTCTGGAGAAGAACAGATAACTGGTGGTAAAACTCATCCTTGATTGCATCCGGGCTGCAATCTGTCGAGGCACAGGCGGAGATGACGAAAAGACATCGTTTCTCATGCCGATTTCTTCTCACTTTGATGGAACTTTCTAATCTAACAGCACATAACCGACTGTTAATGGGGATCCAATCGACTAGTGCTGCCTCAGCTCTAGCGCTTAGTGTGACACCAACGCCAGCAAGACCAGACGAAGATGACACGAGGTCCCCGGATAAGCGCACGTAAAACAAGCTTTTCGAAGCGACAGATGGAGAGCGAATTTGTAGTAGTTCACCAGAGTCTTGAATACGGGTCTCGGATAGACAGCAGACATCGATATTAAGACTTCCAAAGACATAGCCAGCCCTATCTGTTGTCCGACCTGCATAAATGTGCGAACGTTGAAGGCAGCCAGTTTGAATGGTGCACGTGGTTTCAGAAAAACTGCTTCAGTACTCATATTCAGTGGTAACATACAATTTTCAACCGGACAGTGACTCGAGAACGTTTAGATACAGTCGGATTTCCACCAAAGACGAGCCGCTGTATAAGTATAAAAGAGGGTGAATAATGTGGAAAATAACAACAAAAATAAAAATAATAATAATGACAATAATAGTAATAATAATAGTATTAATAATGACAATAATAGTAATGATAATTATTTGAATCGATTGATTGTTTTTCGGAGCGAGAAAAGTAGTTGCCATAGACATAGAGTTCATCGTTTGTGTGTGGGCTGTGATACTGCCCGGGTGCCCAAACCGAAGCAGGTGGTTATCTTAGGGGGCCACTCCCCGAGCCTTTGACCTAAAGGTCCAACCCACAAGGCAGTGGAGCATCGTAAGGAGATGCAATCCCATGGTAGCCGGTGACCAACGATTGGTTCATACGCCATTTGTTCCCGCAGGATACTGGAGCCCATGTGCACCATTGATTTGGAATCCGGTTAAAGCGCCGGACATTCGCTTTTCGTCCTCTCATTTTCGTAAACAACACCTCCGCCACGAGAAGGCAATGAGTAGGACTTCCCTGGGAGAGGCTGTATACGCGCGGCCGTGTGAGAGCGGACTCACCCCACTCTCGGCCGTACCAGGGCATTCGGGGGCTAAGGAAGATGTAGATTCGTACATCACCTTGTCAGCCACAAAATGTCTATGGTGTTCTCTTCCCTTGTGACGTAATATTTCCAACCCAATTTCTCTTTGTCTGAGTTAAGCGTACTCTAATTTTAACTCTAATAAGGGATCCATTCGGTAGTCGTTTTCTTCAAACTGGTTATCAGTATGAGTTTCTGAATAGTGGGGAGACAACTCAGTTTTATGATTCTCCGTAGACATTAATAACACTTAACGTATGAATTTCTGATGAGTTACTGGTCAAAGTATCGTAGGATTTGATTTGACCTACAGATACACTACTAGAACTGTGAATGCAATACTGGCGACCTCAGAGTCTATGTGAAAGGTATAGTCAGAAGAAGGACAACTTGGCTTTAAACTTTATCTGTTTCTAAATGTGGAAATAACAATTTGATTAGTACAATAGTTAAAGTAATTATAGTCATTAATTGGAACGCACAAACATACCGATCAGTATCACCTGTTTTATCGAAATGAATAGAAATTACGAGTCACACTAATATAATAGGATAATAATCCCCTTCAATTGGCAAGTTACATGCAATAGGGATAGTCTACAAATATATCAGATCAAATCGACGTGGTGGGCGCTTAAACAACGATTTGATTGATTAGTTATGAACATAACTAACAATAATATATGAACAGATTGTTCGGAATTCATTGCATAAAAGTATCACATCTGATAACCTTCATCTTACCATAGAATTATCTACATCTATCAAAGAGACTGATTGTTTTAAATACATTTTATATTAATTTGAACCAAATAACAATATAGATTAACTCTAAACATGTGTGAGAAATAGAATAAAAAATGAAATAACTTTTTTATCATTAAAATAAGCTGTTTACGCAACGGTTTCTTTTAAGATATGTAAATATACAAAAAATAATTATGTATGAAGTCAGCGATAAAAATGAGGAATATATATATATATATATATATATATATATATATATATATATATATATATATATATATATATATGAGAATCAGATTAGGCCATCAAGAGATATATCATACCCATAATTAGCAGTAAAATTGTAATAGGCATCACAAATACAAGGTAAGATAACAAAGGTATAGGAACAATGATAGAGAAAAACTGTTGACTGTTTATATTTCTGACATTATTACCTTTTGGACAACTTAGTATAGGATGTTTAATTTCAGTAATATATATAGAATCATCATTAGTGTTATCAGTTTTTGTTGATGGGAGACTAAAAAGTAAAGAAATAATGAAAGTCTGAGATAGATAGAACAGGAGTTAATCTAGTTATAAACGCTAAATGATTGAACATAAATGTGAAGTGATATTACAATGAGAAATCGGTTCGAATTGAGGTCCACTTTCACCGAGGTTGAATCAGTCAAACACAATGTGTCAGCTATTAGACGACAAGCACAAACCAAAGTGTAGTAAGTGAAATCTTGGATGTTTATTGGATCACATCAAGAATAATATGGATTTTGCATACACACTATAACATGTAATCGGTTTAATTAGCCTACCTTCTATAAGGATGCATAACAGAAGTGAAAACTACTGAACACATGTTGGTAAATTTATGGTATCAAGCAATCACAGATATACAGTTATTTTTACTCATCATCGGACAAGACTTGATAGTCAGATCTTCGTTTCACTGATATTTAAGTGATCTGTGAAGTATGTATCTCCCGGTCGTTTGGGTTTTAATGATTTTTCGTTTTTTGTTTAATATTTCATACATAAGTGTGGAATTTTACGGAAGAAAAACCTACTTCTCTGGTTAACGACAATGATTCTGATATCAAATCATAATGGAGGAAACAGAAAAATAAAACCAGAAAGAATTCTTTCAGTTAAAGTTACGGTTACTTTTTCTGAAGAAAGCAGAAGAAGGTTACAGCAGAATCGCCACAGGCTCCAATTCTAAGCCGTATCTGATAACGTCTCTAGCCACTCTGTCGCACCATCTCTAGGAGTCGTGAAGGTCCAACACAAGCCAGCCCTTTGAAGCTTTCTTTCATACCACGACACCATGTCATGCACTGACCACCTCTCCGCTTCTTCCAACCAGTCCCAGAGTCGGCAATTAATGCACGACGTGGAATTCTCTGGGACGACATTCGTAGAACATGTTCAAGCCAACAAAGTCAGTGTTTCAAGATGGTGACACCAATTGAATTATCATCTCTGTGCCCGAACACACGATGCCGAACCTCTGCATTACTACTAACATGGTGTTGCCACTGGATATCAGCAATCCTTCGGAGATAACGATGATCAAACACAGAGAGTCGTCTAACATCCTCAACTCGGAGAGACCAGGTTTCACAAGCATAGAGCAGAACTGCTCTCACCGACGCGTTGTAGATCCGACCTATTACAGCCAGACTAACGTCACGAAGGCGCCAAAGATGGCCCAGATTAGCATTAGCCGCTCTGCCTTTCACTATACGTGCATTGATCTCATCACTCACGCCACAACCAGCACTTATGCAGCTACTCAGATACACGAACTTCTCGACTACGTCTATCTGTTCACCATCCAGGGTGAGTACAGGGTTGGAATCCTGCCAGTCTTGTAGAAGTACTTTGCACTTCGAAGGTGCAAAGCACATACCATACCTACGGACACTGATTGCCAACTGATTAAGTGCGGATTGCATGCCTTGGGCATTATCGCACAGTAAGACAATATCGTCCGCATACTCAAGGTCGAGAAGTCTTTCTCCAGGCAACAGATCCACACCGCCATTACTTACATCCATCAGAGCTGCTTCCAGAATGTCATCGATGGCAAAGTTGAAGAGGAATGGTGAGATTAAGCAACCCTGCCTAACCCCACTGCTCGAATGGAACAATGGAGAGAGGTGGTTGTATCCCCTCACTCTGCCTGAGGTGTTTGTCTTTAGGGCCTTTAAGATGTTAATAAACTTCTCAGGCACACCCTTCTTCAATAGACGATCCCAGAGAACAGTCCTGTCCAACGAATCGAAGGCAGCCGTGATGTCAAGAAATACTACGATTGTTGGCCTTTGATAAGTATGGCGGTGTTCTCACATTTGGCGGAGGGTGAAGATATGATCAATACATCCTCGACCAGAACGAAACCCAGCCTGCTCCTCGCAAGTAAATCTTTCTCGGGTTTTGAACAGCTTACGAAGTTTGACAGAAGCCAATAGCTTGGACGCAATCGAAGTAGACTTATCCCCCGATAGTTGTTACAGGAACGACGTGAACCCTTTTTAAAGATACGGACAACTATCGACTCATTCCATGACGTTGGTACACTCTCTAGTTCCCAAACCTTTGTAAACAACGTCATCAATTCCTTAGTCAGAAAGTCACCACCATCTTTAAAAAGAAACGGAGGTAAGTCATCTGGGCCAGGTGATTTGTAACGCTTCAAGAGTTGGAGTTCCTTGCGGACTTCCTCCTCGTTTGGTGGATCAGTCGTCACCGGCCATGGAGGGCAGGACAGTCTGACCGATGTTGCCGGAGCAGCAGGCCAGTTGAACTGCCCTTCGAAAAATTCTGCCCATCGTCCAAGACGTCGATGGATGTTAGTGATTGGCATCCCATCATCCTCGCAGATTGTTTCACTCACACCAGACTTCTTGCTGCCAGTGGCTCGGATGAGTTGGAAGAGCTTCCGGTAATTACCAGATGCAGCTGCTGCTTCCAGCTCATTAGCACGCTTCGACCACCAGGCTTCTCGGTACTTACGCAAGCTTTGCCCAATTTCCTTACATAACATCCTTCGTTTGTGGTCAAACTCACGGTCACCCGGAGTAGACCGACGGGCTTCAATGAGTTGTAAGGAACCAGAAGAAACCCAGTGCTTAAAAGCGGGACGTTTTGCGAACCCACAACTGACTGTACCCGCCATTTTCATGGCGTCATGCAATTGCAACCTATGCTCATCTATACTTTTCGGTGGAATGGTAGCTAGCCTAGAGGCTAGCTCGGTTCGATACTTATTTGCAACAGAAGTTGCAACCAGCTTGCTAATATCAATCCGTTGATGGCGGTCACTTCGTTGTCCACTGAAAAGTAAAGCAAGATTGGCGCAAACCAAGGCATGGTCAGAGTCCAGATAGGTACTCCAAAAGAAGCGGCCGTCTTGTACACAACCACGCCAGCGATAGCTGATCGCGATGTGATCAATCTGAGTCCAGGCTTGGGATGCAGAGGGAGGACGCCAGGTGGCACATCGGTGATGACTGTGCCGAAAGTTAGTGCTAGCCAGAAACAGGTTGTGGTCTGTGCACAGTTGCAGTAGACGGTCTCCGTTATCTGACCTGCGACCAACGAGTCCCCATCGGCCACCTAAACGACTCTCTTCTGTGCCTAGACGCCCGACCTGAGCATTCAAGTCTCCGGCTAGTACTACAATATCTGTCGAACGCACTTTCTGGAGAAGAACAGATAGCTGGTGGTAAAACTCATCCTTGATTGCATCCGGGCTGCAATCTGTCGAGGCATAGGCGGAGATGACGAAAAAAAATCGTTTCTCATGCCGATTTCTTCTCACTTTGATGGAACTTTCTAATCTAACAGCACATAACCGACTGTTAATGGGGATCCAATCGACTAGTGCTGCCTCAGCTCTAGCGCTTAGTGTGACACCAACGCCAGCAAGACCAGACGAAGATGCCACAGGGTCCCCGGATAAGCGCACGTAAAACAAGCTTTTCGAAGCGACAGATGGAGAGCGAATTTGTAGTAGTTCACCAGAGTCTTGAATACGGGTCTCGGATAGACAGAAGACATCGATATTAAGACTTTCCAAAGACATAGCCAGCCCTATCTGTTGTCCGACCTGCATAAATGTGCGAACGTTGAAGGCAGCCAGTTTGAATGGTGCACGTGGTTTCAGAAAAACTGCTTCAGTACTCATATTCAGTGGTAACATACAATTTTCGACCGGACAGTGACTCGAGAACGTTTAGATACAGTCGGATTTCCACCAAAGACGAGCCGCTGTATAAGTATAAAAGAGGGTGAATAATGTGGAAAATAACAATAAAAATAATAATAATAATAATAATAATAATAATAATAATGACAATAATAGTAATAATAATAGTGTTAATAATGACAATAATAGTAATGATAATTATTTGAATCGATTGATTGTTTTTCGGAGCGAGAAAAGTAGTTGCCATAGACATAGAGTTCATCGTTTGTGTGTGGGCTGTGATACTGCCCGGGTGCCCAAACCGAAGCAGGTGGTTTTCTTAGGGGGCCACTCCCCGAGCCTTTGACCCAAAGGTCTAACCCACAAGGCAGTGGAGCATCGTAAGGAGATGCAATCCCATGGTAGCCGGTGACCAAAGATTGGTTAATACGCCATTTGTTCCCGCAGGATACTGGAGCCCATGTGCACCATTGATTTGGAATCCGGTTAAAGCGCCGGACATTCGCTTTTCGTCCTCTCATTTTCGTAAACAACACCCCCGCCACGAGAAGGCAATGAGTAGGACTTCCCTGGGAGAGGCTGTATACGCGTGGCCATGTGAGAGTATTTCGAGAGGGAGAGCGGATCTCCCCACTCTCGGCCGTACTAGGGCATTTACTTACTTACTTACTTACGCCTGTTACTCCTCGTGAAGGAGCATAGGCCAACCACCAGCATTCTCCATCCAACCCTGTCCTGGTCAAACCTTTCTAGCTCCGTCCAGTTGTAATTCATCCTTTTCATATCTGCTTCTATTATCCGACGTAATGTGTTCTTTGGCCTTCCTCTTTTCCGCCTTCCTTCAGGATTCCAAGTTAGGGCTTGTTTCGTGATACAGTTTGACGATTTGCGTAATGTATGTCCTATCCATTTCCATCGTCTTTTCCTAATTTCCTCTTCAGCTGGAAGTTGGTTTGTTCTCTCCTACAGAAGGCTATTGCTGATGGTATCCGGCCAATGGATGTTGAGTATCTTGCGTAGACAGCTATTTATAAATACTTGCACCTTCTTGATGGTGGTTGTTGTAGTTCTCCAAGTCTCAGCTCCGTACAGTAGAACTGCCTTGACGTTGGTATTGAAGATTCTCACTTTGATATTGGTTGAAAGTTGTTTTGAGTTCCATATGTTCTTCAATTGTAGGAATGCGGCCCTTGCTTTACCAATCCTCGCCTTTACGTCTGCATCGGTTCAACAACACTCTGTTGAAGACCTTCCCTGGTATTGACAGTAGTGTAATGCCTCTGTGGTTTTCACATTTGCTCAGATCTCCTTTCTTTGGAATCTTGACGAGGTGTCCCTCTTTCCAGTCCATCGGCACGTGTTCCTCCTCCCAAATCTTTTTGAATAGAGGGTAAAGCATGCTTGTGATTACTTCGACGTCTGATTCCAGTGCTTCAGCTGGTATGTTGTCGGGTCCTGCTGCTTTCCCGTTCTTGATTTGTCTTCCGTCGTTAGTGGGTTGACATCTATAGGAAGATCTGTGTGTGCTGCTTCGATGTTCGGTGGATTGATTGGAGCCGGCCTATTCAGGAGTTCCGCGAAGTATTCTACCCATCTGTTTCGCTGTTGTTGAATTTCAGTGATTGGCTTGCCTTCTTTGTCTTTGACCGGTCTCTCTGGTTTATTGTATTTCCCTGCTAGTTTCTTCGTTGTATCGTAAAGCGGTTTCATATTTCCTTCTCTAGCAGCTTTTTCTGCCGTCGTTGCTAATTCTTCCACGTATTTCTTCCTGTCGGCTCTAATGCTCTTCTTCACTTGCTTGTTTGCTTCTATGTATTCAGCTTGTGCTTGGACTTTCTCTGCTCGTGTTCGGCTGTTCTTTATTGCTGCCTTCTTGTTCTTCCTTTCTTTGATCTTGTCTAGAGTTTCTATAGAGATCCACTCCTTATGATGCTGTTTCTTTAGGCCCAGAACCTCTTGACACGTTGAAGTTAATGCTTCTTTGATGCCTTTCCAGTTGTCCTCCATAGTAGTTTCTTCTTCCTTCAGTAGATCTTGTAAGGCTTGGAACCTGTTGTTGAGAGCTATCTTGAATTCATTGAGTTTGTCAGTATCTCGAAGGAAGGCTGTATTGAACCTTTGTAGTGCTGTTTGTCCACTTGTCCAGTTTTTCTTTAGCTTCAGTTTTAAATTGGCTACAACTAGGTGGTGATCTGAAGCTACGTCAGCTCCTCTCCTCGTTCTCACATGTTCCATTGTCCTTCGGAATTTTTTGTTGATGCAAACATGATCTATTTGGTTCTCTGTAGTGTGGTCCGGTGAGATCCATGTAGCCTTGTGTATACGTTTGTGTGGAAATATTGTGCCTCCTATGACTAATTTGTTGAATGCACACAAATTTGCAAATCTTTCTCCATTTTCGTTCCTCTCTCCCAGTCCATGTCGTCCCATAATATCTTCATATCCAGTGTTGTCTATTCCGACTTTGGCATTTAGATCTCCCATCAGAATAGTTAGGTCCTTTCTTGGGCATTTCTCTATGATTGACTGCAGCCGCTCGTAGAATTGATCTTTAATGTCGTCGTTGCTATCATTGGTGGGCGCATAACATTGAATAACATTCATTAAGATCCTCTCCTTTGTTTTAAATGATGCTTTGATGATTCTGGATCCGTGAGATTCCCATCCTACAAGTGCATTTCGTGCTACTTTGGACAGCATTAGAGCAACTCCCTGAGTGTGTGGAGCATTTTCCTCTTCATGACCGGAGTATAGCAGCATCTCTCCCGTAGCTAGCCTTTTCTGTCCAGCTTGGGTCCAGTGGGTTTCGCTGATTCCCAATACTGCTAAGTTGTATCTCCTCATTTCCGTTGCTATTTGGCTGGTCTTCCCGGTTTCCCACATTGTTCGAACGTTCCATGTACCTATAAAAACTTTTGCTCTGGTTGTTAGAAGGGGCATCGGCCTCGTAGCTTCCGAAGGAACTCGGCTTTCACCATGAAGCGTCATAATTCTTCTAAATGAAGACCTTTAACTCTCAGGGCAAAGTTAAAATGGTTCGAATTATTTTTTCTGCGAGTTAGTTTTCTACGGGATGGGGACGCTAACCCCATGCCCAACCCTCCTCCTTTACCCGGGCTTGGGACCGGCAGTAACTCTAGAAGAGCTAGAAAAACAGGGGACCATAAGAAGCTTGAATTGTTGGTGTATTTATAAAAGTGGCTGGACATAATCAAAAAGGAATTATGTTGTGAATGTTTGACTGAAATTTAAATGGTACAAGGCATGATTCTCAATTATTAGAAAGGATGACAATCTCAAATCTAATACTAGTGATTCGCACTTATCATCACGTTAATAACGACATAATTATAACTGAATACTACTAAACAGCATTACAGCGAACAGATATTTGTGAATTATTTATGTTAAATGATGGGAGGCAGTTGCAGGAAAATTTGGACCTGGGTTTTATATCGACACTTGTTAGCTAGGAGTACCTGAAATATTGATGGAATTAATACTTTTAATGGAATTCAAACACGTGTCACTTAATTCGCCAGTCTGATACATTACCATTAAGGTGTTCGGGGCACGGTTGACTTAATGTAGAACAGATATTTACGAATGATTGATCATTGAATAATGACTTATGCTGTGTTTGTCTAGTCAGTCCGTGCCGATAGGACTCTATTGGTGAAGTTTCATTGTGTCCACTAGTTTAAATGAGTCGACATCATATGTCTTGTGTTGAGATGTTAAATGGTTGAAAATAATCGATAAAGTTTATTGCTGAACATAACATGTACTCAGAACTCATTTAACAAATGAATACATAAATAAAACATACTGATATCGTAGATGAATAGGTAAATCTAAATAACTAATTGATTGATTTATCCCCAGTTGATTAATATTAAATTTGAATGTTAATGGTTTAGCAAGCCATTCTGGAGCTTCAATATCAACCAAATTATTCTGAATAATTAATTGTTTACTTTCATCGGAATGATCGGTATTTTTCTTCTCCAACTTAGAATATGTAAACCAATTTACAAATTGTTTAATGGTATCATGTAATTTTGGTTGTATTTCTGACTGACTAATTGAAAATTTTAAGTTCGGTTGACTGGAAGTTAATTCATATGGATCAATGAAAAAACCTGAAAATGAGTTAGAAAATATCAGTTACTTTATATTAAACAGTGAATAAAAAGGAATATAATACAATGAAACTAGGAAGCGAATGACCTAAAAGCAGAGAAAAGTTGTCCATTTTGGTGGAGTTTTGTTCTCTGAGTTGGGTGATTTGGTCGTGGAGCTTTCATCGTTCTTCTGAACGACATCATCAGCACAAACTTCAGGTAGAAGTGAAGTATTCAAATCTGTTCACATGTGGTTCACAGCTTGTCCTGTACACCTCGATGTTGATTGGTCCTTGTTCACCTTAAACCTATCATTGGGAGATACAACCAAAATAAAAAAAGTAAACAGTGACAGGTTAAAGGTCAACAAGGACCAATCAACATCGAGGTGTACAGGACAAGCTGTGGACCACATGTGAACAGATTTGAATACTTCACTTCTACTTGAAGTTTGTGCTGATGATGTCGTTCAGAAGAACGATGAAAGCTCCACGACCAAACCATCCATCTCAGAGAACAAAACTCCATCAAATTCATCCATCTGAGCTACAAATCTTTTCCACCATCTCAAAGTCGTTCGATTTCCTAGTATAAATCTTTTAGATAACTGGCCTCCCATTAATAGAACAAGATTACAATCGGATAGATCTACAATAGACAGTTCTTATTCGCATATTTATTATTTAAACATATGAACATTGGTACGAGGCATCAAATCAGTATGCGCCACATAATTCATTCGATTTGTGTGAGGGCTGGTATACTGCCCGGGTGCTCAAACCGAATCAGGTGGTTTTCTCAGGAGGCCACATCCGGAGCTTTCGACCTAAAGGTCTGATCCACAAGGCAGTGAAACAACGTCAGGAGATGCAGTCCCATGGTATCCGGTGACCAACGATTGGTTTATACGCAATCTAACACTGATTTTAATTGAGTTACTCATTTATTCTATTGCCGATTATTGTACGAAGAGTAACAATTTGAAAATCCCCTACACTTTTTATTTGAAAAATAACATTATTGATAAGAGTATATAACATAAAATACAAAATTATAAAATACCTGATGGTAAATGTACATGAAGTTGACAATGCTCCAGTAAACTAATTGAAAAATCATGGAAATCACAATGCAATCGAAGATGAAAACCGCGTTGAGTTATATTACAACTAAAATAAGGTTGTATAGTATTAACCGAATTATTCAATGTAATGGTAGTAGTATTAGCAGTAGTAGTAGTAGTAGTAATATCAGCGTAGGCAAATGACAGAATTGAAACTATACACAGTATTAACATTTGAATAACCATTGTCTAATTCAAATAAATTACAAATGAAAAATAAAGGTATATAAATATATAATATCCTGAAAGTTACTTTAGATTACACGTCAGTTTACAAGACTGACAGCGGCTTAATCAAATTTGCTACGTAATAATAGTAAAAGTAAAAATTACTATTTACTGACTGAATAAGTATGAATTACAAATAAATCCCTACAGGACAATTTTATATTATTGAATATTCAACAATAAGTGTGATGAGAGGTGTAAGTCTGGGTTAAGTAGTTGGTTTTACAAATATATATTAGAGGTGAAGCATCATAAATTCAGTATATTGTAATCACGGATTCCTCTATGTAGCACATACTTCAAGTCATATTTACTATACAGTGAGCTTATGATACCGTTGGTATTGGGTAATATGATGGATGTTTTGACTTTGCTTGGACATGTTACTTATTTCACCACAGAGTTTAGAAAGGACTTTTAATATCTTCCCCAGAAAACAGCTATATAACCACAATAACGACACTACGTAATAGATATAGCTGTGTATACATATTTCCCATTGTAATGATGTCTTCGTAGGAAAAGTGACGAGTAGGATCATCGATAAACATTTATTTTAAAGCGTTAATGTGAATACCAACCTTAAAATAACAACTTTGATATAAATGTAAAGTACTTGAATGTTTATTGACTCATAGGTTTCTATTTAACTGCATGAGCTTCCATCATCCATAAGATGACGTATTAGCTTAAGGTTCAACTAAAAATTTGACGTTTCACACCACAGACTGACTTTGATGAGTGTATTATTCGAAACCAGGAAATAATGGACAAAGAGCTTCATCCTAGTATGGGATTTACTGGCAGTGAAAATCCACGACCACACCAATATTGAATATTAACTAGAATTAGAAATGTAAATTGTCCGAAGTCAACTTTGTGAAATAAAATCGATGAGCTCACAGGGATATCGGAATGTTCAGAGTCCGATTCCTGGGGGGTTATAAATATGCACTGATGAGAGTCACATGCTAGAATGAAACAGCTGTTGAGTTCCTCCTAGCTTTCAACGGTTGTCAAACTAAAACTGGTTCGCAATGCAAACCATGAAATTCAACAGTCAAGTATTATTCATCGAATTTAGTGAGATTTTTATGTACTTATCGTTTACTATGATGTACATAGTTATCAAAGTATCCCAATGGTGAAAAAATAGTTTTAAATTGGAATGGTTTCATTTCGAATTTTAATTTGTTAAAAAATGAACAACTAACTGATTTAACATTAATAGATTGTAAAATAACGACAATAAGCATGTAGGCTTCTGAGATCACATACTTTCAGAATGATTGCATGTTTTTGGACAACTTTATAAATCCATCCGGATGTTAATTAAAAAACTAATTTAAATAGAAAGGAATTCGAATTAGATAATAGCTAACTTAATAAATATCTATGTAAAACAAGGTTAGAGTTAGTATTACCAACATTAATAATCCATAACATGATATCAGTTTATTTACGACACATTTACATGCTAAGTTCTGAGTAAACCCGGTTAAAGGTAACTCTGAGAAGAGTTGCCATTTAAGCAACCTATATGAGCTTAAGAAAATTAAAACCTAAATATCTAGATATCAAATAGTGTAAATGGTTTACCAATTACAGGTTTATTCACTCGGGTTCGAGGTATACTTTTTGTATGAAGGTTAGTAACACTAACTGAGAAAGCTGATTGAATAACGTAGAGTGGGATTTCAGATAAGCAGTCATGTCGTTTGAAAGTCATTGAAAGCTCTAACGGTTAAGTCATTGCATCAGACAACGGGATATAGAATACACAAATGGGCAGTACTGAAATAATACATGCAACAGTAATATTCTGAAAAGAAAATAACTAAGTATTATAGAAACAACATCCTGTCATCATTTATAACCAATAATGCTCCAGATATGTTAACAAAAGTGGTTGTTATTATATCCGAGTTCTCCGAGAAAGAAATATTACACTGGATCTCTAAAAAATCCATATCAGGTGGATAATAGTTCTTTCACATTGGACGTTTAACCTACACTAACCGGAGTGACTACAATACGAATCACACAAATTGCCGCTCTCTAAACATGTGAAACAAACTGGTTTCGGAACAACTCAGTAGATGATCAAAGATAAATAAGAACATCTGTCCAAATTAAAATGAATGGTTTTACAGTAGTTTCGCGCTAAACACTTAGAAAACTGAAACCGAGATTTAGCACGGCGATCTTGAGGGAGACGATCAAAATTATCGAATATGAATAGTGTTACAAAATAACCGTTTACTAAACAACTGTCTAATCATGTTAAAATATTGAATGCGAATTTTTAAAGCATTAATATATAAATCATTTGGTGTGTAAATGTGTTCAAATTGTAGTCAGTGAAGAAGTTTCGATATATCACATTAAGTGAAATAATATTTAATGAAACATCAATCAAGATGACATCACATTCAATCAGTAGTTGTAGTCTGATGTGGATCTGGAAACTTTGAAATGAGTAACATGGGAATACACTGAAAATTGATGTTTAGTAATGAAAGTGATCTGCACATAGACAATTGAGCCGATTAGAGATTATATTGCGCTAGTGCGATATGTGAATTTAAAGATTTGTATACATAAGAGTTCATCAAAACTTACTAAATGGAAGACTAACCAATAACAAAGTGATCCAACCTAAGAATACGTCCAGCATTTTACAATCATAATTTATTTGAACACAACACATTTTAAGTGTTAGGAGTAAACTAAGCATTGAAATGGTGAGGTGGATTTTACTTTGAAGCAGTGACTTTGACTGAACAAAGGTTTAAGCAATCTAGTAGTCATTCCCTTTAAAATATCTTCTGTATTCTAGCAAGTTTATCAAGAAGACAATGTTAAGAAAGCATGCATATCAGTTCTGATTAGAAAAAAGAGCTACTTAATTTTTTTAAAAATCAGTTAAGTTAGATGTTAGGAGTTCAGGAATCGACATCTAAATAATGTTTATTCTTTTGAATTCATATCGCCGGTGTGAGGATAGCCCATGGGTGAACTCTAGGAAGCTCCAAGGAGCTCAGAAAGAGCTGAAGATATTCCAACCAATCATCTTTTGGAGGGACATTCCAGAATCTCGACGTGTAGCTTCCCTATTGGACAAATGCTAATAACCCCCTGTATACAGATTGGGGGACTATAATGACGATTTCGTTATTACCGGAAACTATAAATACCTGAGTTTTGTACCATAATTGACACTGATTGGAATAGCATTCCTTTCACTTATTTTCTGTCTTCTCATTTGCAACCTGCGGGGTTCTAGAGTTCGAGTGCCCATTTTGTACGTGGTAAAATAAGAAACTAAGTTTTAGATATGACAACGAGCGACGGGGTTAACTTATCAAGATGTCATTTACCTTTGACTAATTCGAAGCCATACTAGAGCGTCAAGAAAAACGTTTCGAACAGTTCTAAATTCGTATTCTAGAAGCTCTAACTCAGCAAATGAACCTAAATCAAAAGGGGTTTCCAGATGGTTCGTTCAAATCCCATGTCGACCATATGGTTAATTCTATCCACGAGTTTCATTTTGATGGTTTGGCTGGCGTTAATTTGAATCGTGGTTCAAGAAATACAAAGATGTATCCAAGGTCGACCTAGAAAAACTTGATGATACCGCAAAGGTCAGAGTACTGCTACTTCACCCTAAGAATTCCAGAGACCTTTCATTTGATACAACAGTTGTAACTTTGTCGCAAATCTTTGGTGAACGGTTATCTTTGTTCAGTATTTGTTACCAATGTCCTAGTTTGGCGAAAACTGGAGACAATGACTGGGTGCAACACGCTGGCATAGTAAATCGCGAGTGTGAGCCTTTCAGATTATCATCAATGACAGAAGACCAGTTTAAGTGTCTTTTTTTCGTATGCAGCTTGCAGTCACCTGAAGATGCCAACATCAGGACTAGAATTCCGAGTAAAATTGAACAGTGTTCAAATATATCGCTACAAGAAGTGACTAGTGAATGTCAGAGGTTGGTGAACTTAAAACATGACACTTTTATGGTTGAAAACAGTGTCTCTAATTGCATTTTTTTGTAACTTATAAAGCGAAATGTCGTAAACATTTCATAAACACGCCTGAATAGGTTATGCGATTGATAGACATAATGATGTGTTAAAACAAAAACAGATAACTTGTTAAAATATCTAGATGGCAGGAATAGGTAGGTCGTCAACGTCTAGATCCATTTCCGATGATTATGTTACTTACGCCCGTGAAGAACATTTGTAGCTCAGATGGATGAATTTGATGGAGTTTTGTTCTCTGAGGTGGATGGTTTGGTCGTGGAGCTTTCATCGTACTTCTGAACGACATCTTCAGCACAAATTTCAGGTAGAAGTGAAGTATTCAAATTTGTTCACATATGGTTCACAGCTTGTCCTGTACACCTCGATGTTGATTGGTTCTCGTTGACCTTTAACCTGTCATTGTTTACTTTTTTGTTTTGGTTGTATCTCCCAATGACAGGTTTGAGGTCAACGAGAACCAATCAACATCGAGGTGTACAGGACAAGCTGTGAACCACATGTGAACAGATTTGAATACTTCACTTCTACCTGAAGTTTGTGCTGATGATGTCGTTCAGAAGAACGATGAAAGCTTCATCAAAAACTTATGACCGTGAATTCAACCGAGATTGTGACTTGCAAAGATTATCTAATGCCTTTCGTAATAACTGTTTTATTCTTGAGGTGTTTGAATCTACAAATTAGACCAATTTCTAAAACACCTTTTCAACTACATTTATAAATTTATTATTTTGAATATATTATTTGGTTAGGGTAGATGATTTGTGATATACAAAATTGAAGTTTAATCAAACAATTCGCTTAATGTATATATCAAGGCGATTGAGTTTATGAATCATGATTAGTTCAATCAAATTTACAAGTCCATATACAGTAAGATTCAACTGCATATTTAGTCTACTTAACATAATGTAAATGGTTTCGTGTCAGAAAAATCATTCCCTAGTTCATGTGTTATATGGATTGGAATGTAAATCATCTTAAAATAACCAAAGATGACTGTTGAAATACAACCATCCTATATCAAATTATACAAATATAAGGAAGCAAGAATGAAGAAGTATATTAAAATTTACCAAGTAAACAAACAAAACCCAGACTATTGACATACATGCACACATTAAACTCTTTTTAGAATACCGAAATATCTCAGTAACATGAAGTTAAAACTCAGTGTTCACTTCTTAACAAGTAATTTATTTGTTTACAAAATCTATTTGGGGTTACTATACAGGTAATGCCTATATACATGTAAAGTCATGTTGATAATAATATACAGTAAAATTATGTTGTTCAATTTCAACTCAGCATTTCATTTGTACTTTTTTTACGTTTACTCTTCGGCTTCTTAATGTTTTGCATTGATTCTTCCGAAACAATTTTGTTATTATTCACTTGTTTTGAAAGATCATTGATGCATTTTTTATCTGAAATCTTTAAAATAATTGAAAATACATTACACTAAGTTGAACTGTTATTACCAATATCGGATACTAATAGTGTTAAAAAAATCTCGTACAAAATTTGTTTCATAGGAGATCCTCTTTCGAATAAGTATTTAATTTGGACGAGAGGAGTAGTGATAGAGTGAGTCAATCAGAAATCGCCAAACGATGTCTATGTGATTGGTCAAGAAATGTCTTTCTTTGCCAACGGATAAGATATAAACCATTGATAAGCTTGATTGTCTAAGAGACAAATACAAACATATAGAAGAGTCCACATACAATCGGTTCTGTTTAGTCAAATAAGCTTTCTTTTTCACCCTTCGTCTCTTTTTCTTGAGTAGGAAGGCTGTTGTACAGAAAACGTGCATCAATTCCAAGCCTTAGATATTGTGAGCCACAACAAATAGGAATCTATACTTCATGAGGTTTTACGGAAGAGGGGTGTTAAGAATGACTTGATATCCCCAAAACTGCTTGTGTTAGCAAGTACATTATTAGTTTCAGTAGTTTCAAGGTTACGTTTCAGTACTGAGATCAAAAATGCTTTTTTGCCTACTAGTTCGTACCTCTCTTAATATACTATCCTTAGCCTTACTTCGGAAGGCATCGTAAATATGTGGGAACATATTGACTTCATAATGAAGGATGTTGAATAAACCGTTTTATTTAGTATATTTTACTTAGGCTAACTCAGTTTAGGAGACGGCGGTATAAAAATAGATAAATACGGACCAAGTTGGAGAAAATTATTCCGATCATTCCTTTACTCAGACCGTAAGAAGCGCAACATAGGGTAAGGTTTCGTAGATTACTCAAGCGTGACTCAGCATCTATAGGCATGAAAGATGCAAACAAAAATAAGACATATACATACGATTATAAGCATGTATCAAGATCACATGTATAAATGATGAAATAAGTGTAGGTTCAGACCAATTCAGCTGTCCACAGGTTAAGATAAATCGCGTAAGCTTGTCATAATAAAGATCTACTATAAGTGTAATTATTTATGAACAATAGTTGTTAGCCTGGTCAATTTTGTTTATATCATAAATAGGCGTTTTATTTACAACTCGACTTTTTAATTAATTGAGGTGGGTGGGCAAAGAAAAGGATACATTTGTTATTTCAAGAACTCGTAGCTAAGCTGATCTCACTGTATTGTGAAGCTATATCATGAAGGTAAGTCAACTAATGAATTGATGACTATGCACTGACAATCACTGATCATATATATATTGTGCATTGCATTTTACAATTTGCTTTTATGCATTTTTATGCCTATAATTTAATCAAACCGAACTGTATTTTTAAAAAAATGATTTCGAAAAAGAAACAAACTTAAAATTCAATATTAGTCTTACCTTCATTTTCATTTCATAGTTCCTTAATGCAACCTGATACTCTGCATTGAAATGTGACCACTTACTTTGATGAAATTGTAATTGTTTAATTTTTTTTCTACCCGCACGCTTGAGATCTTTCTTAAAGTGATAGAACTAATAACAATGGCAACAATCAATAGAAATTGGGAAAAAGGGAATTTAACAATAAAAAAGGAAGAAAACGAACATAAAATTGATTGGTCACTACCCACGAACAATCAGTTGTATATATCTTAGTCTTACAGGAAATTAGTGGAAGCCCAAATAGCTCGGTGATAAAATCTTAAAGTGTGGGGCTGGGTAATGCGAGTTCGAATTTCAGAAGAAGCGACGATTTCGTTAGGATTGCTGGTACTCCTTGCTGACGAGTGTCAATTGGCACGAAATCTAGGTCCAAGGTTTCTGGTATAACGGATGATTTAAAATTTTCCTCTTTCTGTAGCATAATACGCTACGTTAAATCAGATAAACGGTACACAATACAGCGACTAGATCACTTGATATCAGATACACGAACAAGAATAGAGAACTAAGGTAAACGCTCATTCAACAAGCAATGTAATGTAAAACATTGCCCCGAAACAGATGTATTTCACTCTGATGAAACATAATCTACTATGTAGGTACAATATACGAAGTTGGCATTCAGTAAGAGAACTATAGATATTCAGAACACTTAAGGAAAAAAAATTAGTTTGCTTACCTGGTTAGTTGACAATAAACTGTATGCAGTTCCTTTCTTACCAGCTCTAGCTGTACGCCCAATTCGATGAATGTAGATTTTGATACTAGGTGGTACATCATAAGATACGACACATTCCACATCATTAATATCTATGCCGCGAGCCATAGAATCTGTGCAAACTAGAATCTGTAAATATTTTGAAATTTTTACAATAAAAATGGAAAACAAAATGTAAATTCTTATATCAAATTTTTTAAATATGTAAATCATTTACAAATTCTTTTAATCAGGTCGGACTGTTTATTTACCCTAAAGTTTTGTTTAGAAAGTATTTTATTGTCTAACTATATAAAGTCTATCATATTTCACTGACAGTTCTTCAAACAAAAAATAATCAAACTTACCCCACCCGAACTATCTAAATGGTATGTCATTATACGAAACATGACAAACTGTAGGTAGAGTGTATTTACTACCCCATGAGGAATCGAACCCAGGACCTTCACGTCTAAACTTAACCCATATATATATATATATATGCATAACACAATAAGAACATGAGATCATGAACAAGTAGAGAAAGGATGGCAAGTATGATCTTCTTAAAAATGGAAATGAATAGAAATTAATGTATCAGGGTAGGGTTTATATCCCGCAAAATAACAAACAAAGTAAACTTCTTTCTATATATTATCTTGTAAAAATAAGAACTTAGTATTTATTCTCCCATAAAATATCTTTAATCGATCTCATTAGTTCCCTGATGATTAGATGACGTCTATGTTTGTCAACATATGATTCCAATCCCAATGACTATGTACACAGTTACTGTCCCGTCACATTAATCTTTTTTTCCGGGTCTGGTAAAGTTTTGATCAAAAAGTATTTCTATTTCCAGATTATGTGTGGATATGGTGAAGAGAAGAAATTAAGATATTAAATTGATGTTCATACTGGAGTTTCTAAAGCGAAATTGCAGTATGCGACCAGTTAAGTCCAGAACACCAGTCTCAGTCTCTGCGATATGAATCATTATATTTCAAACATACTGAGTTTATACACCAATCAAACGGACCACAACGTATCACTAAAATATAAAACAACATTTGTACAAGAATTAGCCAGATGTGGGTGCGAATGAGGGGGGGGTAGTAATTAATAGACAGGGTATAACTCAAGAATGGTGAATCGTGTAATAACAGTTCATAGGTCAAAATAAAGCTCATAATAAGAGGAACATGAATATGAATAGTTTAGTAACTTAATAATTATACGACAAAAATATACTCATAGTATTGGTCCATAATGGATCCCAAAAGTTACTATTCATTATTCTTGTCGGGACATAACCAACCTCCCCTTTTTCGAAAATCCGGAGTTGATATCCGCATTTTAAACACGTGGTGCTCTCCACAAGAACTACTTAACCAACACAGCGGAGATCGGACTGACCACCCATTCTGCATAAGTCAGGTGGAGATCAAGCTAATTACCCATTCTATCTTAATCTTGATTACACGAGAAGAGAGATAGACTTGAATTGACAATGTGATTGTGGCACTAGAGAAAAACTTCGTTTCGGTGCCTGAACAGACTCGTCTGGAAGGGCGGGCCAGAGAGTAGGCAAAAAACTGTGCTGTAACCAGTGCACAGGGTTATACACTAAGCCTGCTTGTGACAAGCATGAAGTGAGCACATCGTTTATGAATACTTGATATGCATTCAGTTAAAAAATGCAATGGGGCTACGGCTTGGGGTGATTGCATATATGTACTCTATGAAGTATATAAGCCTTGGCTTAGGTATTCTGTATGTACATATATCGTATACTAGCGATCTGAAACGTCTATGTCTATATTCATTTGTGGAATGAGTGAACTTATTTATGCATTCTACGGTTGCATATAGTGTATACTAACGACAGCGTCCATCTATGCGTATATGCATATCACTGGAATGTATATATTGCTGATATCTGCATTTGAATATTGGATATACAGCATACTTGGGGAAAGTTCTACGCTTCTACACCAGTGAACTTATTAATAACTCATCAGAGCTTTTGGTTGGCATAAAAGCTTGAGAAAGTGTAGAGTAAGCTAAAATTAATACATCTGCACTACATAGTATGGGACAAGTTATTTTCCCATGCTACTGATATCATAATCCCTATATACACATTTTCTCCAGTGTTCAGCCGTATTGTCTTTTCAAAGTTCTTCCCTCTCTGAAGAGCTATGGGGTTGGGTGGGAATAACAATAACGAAAAGTAACAATTTTGTACAAAAATTTACACAATTAAATACATTACAGTAGGTATTAGTAGTGACAAAAAGTTCAAATGTAGAGCCTGGTAATAAATTTGCCACAAAGAAAACAATTACCAATAGCTATTACATCACTTACTTGACACAATCCAACACTGAATAGATTTAATATTCTTTGACGTTTATCCGGATGTAAATGACTTGACAAGAATTTACTCTTTATACCTTGAAAGCCAGCCAAGAGCATATTTAAGCGTTTAGCACAATCTACTGTATTTGCAAAGCATAAGATACGTTTTTTGTGTTTTTGACGCACCAAATACACAAGAAACAATACACGGATATCCGGTTTTGCAGTTACAAGAAATTCCTTTAGTTTAAAATAAACAAGCAATGAAAATCAGGTATCTTGTTAGTTTTATACGTTTAATATATGTAGACAGTAAAACTGAGAAATAAAATCTATAGGAAATCTTGAATACATCAAGTGATCAATAGCAATGATCACAATACATGGAAATGTTATTTTATACAGTTGGTCGTATCAACTAAGTTACACAAATGAGTAGCAGTTTCTACTAACAAAACGACCTAAATGTTTATATACTTCCTATGAAAACTACTGTAGAAATACCAACAATTAGAATACAAGATAAAACGGAAGACTTAAATAACTAAATTCATTGGGATGATCCCACAAAAATCTAGGGGAAATGATTAAATCACTTCAACCAATGAGTGATTTTTGGGAGCTTTCAAAGAAAATCTAAAAAATAATTAATTACGCTTTCCTTATTCTGATTAGATTACCGAATATATAATCGCTTTTGCCGTTTTTCGTAAAAACTTCTAGAATATCACGGTTACTCACAAACCCACGAATATTATCGTTTTTGCACGTAATTTAACCTTCGAAGAAAAGCTTTTTCTGTACTTTATCTTTGGAATTTAAGGGTTGGACACTTTTAGGGACTATGAAACGATTTGGAATTCAGTATCTGGGCGTTTAAGCATAAAGGTCGCTGTAATTTTACAATAGAATGACATGAGTGGAGAAAAAATATACCGAGTAATGAAATGCCCAGGGGTTTAAAGGAAGATGAGGAGTAGAATACGTTTGTGACACAGGGAGCTGCTTTGCGTTATATCACTTAGGGACTTGAAACACTAATAACTGACAACTAAATCGGTCAACTCGTAGCTTTAATTACAGACTTGCTTTCTCTGCCAATAATTTTGTTTAATTTCAACGATCAAAACTTGAGAAATGTTTTGAAAATATATACGGTCAAACAATTGTATCATAATTTCATCAGTAGGGAATAAATCTCAGAGTTAAACAAAATCAAACCTTGGTCATCGGTTTCCTTATAGATGTTCGAGAAGAGGTAAAGCATAAGATCATGATTTACGTTCAACTGACTTTTATTAAGTATAAAATTAAACCATACGAATTGTGTGATTATTACTTTAACTAATAATGTATATAATAGAATGAATTCAAAGCGAATTAATCTTTTTTAGTCCCTACTGAACAAATCTTCCTTACAAATCTCGTCTTTTGGAGTAGCTGGGGGTACGAGAGAAAAAAGCTGTGGAATCATGGTATCGAATTGTAGTTAAGTGTTATCACAATTATCGTATTATTATTATTAGAATAAGCAACAATTTATGCAAACTTGTTTGAAGCAGTTCAAGCCAACAGTTAACAACTTCCTGAACTGATAGTATAGGTTTGGTCTGGTCACCTCTGGTCTTCTTTAAATCCGCCATAAAATTACCTACCACAAGTCCTAACCAACTCCGCAGATGAATGTTTAACTAATTTACTACTTGGTAGTTTTATCAGACACGGGGAATACTTCGAAGACCTCAATGAGTAAATACTAACAGCTGACATATTTTCAATATTTTGTGTTGTGCTCCACATCTATTATGTAAGATATGCTGAATTTTTGTACAGTATGAACATCATTTGATGATTAGAAAACGGGTATACCTTATCACCAACATATGTTGTATCCATTACCAAAAACTGATTTCAGTTTTCATATCCGTGTCCAGAATGTTATTCTGTCTTTATACAGAGTGCAAATGTTCAAATGTAACACACCATACAACATTTATTCAGATCCATCTTATTCAAAAATGGTGTGCACTTCGACAAAGCCACGTAACTATTGAGTGATTAGTTAAAACTCAAAATATTTGAATCTATCTTTTAGATTCTCTGCATATAAATATCTTTGACAGTGTAAGAAAGCATATTTCACTAAATAGTTATTCCTGATTTTTATAGAATACAGTTAAACTACAAGTGAAAAATGAATAAATCTACCTTCAGAAGAAAATGATTGTAAAGATTACCTCTAAACTTTCAGGGATTAAAAACTGACCAACACCTGTAGTCGTATGATTTTCACTTGATTTTAACTGTGAAATAACATTAGAGATTTCTCTATTTTCATCATTTTTCACTTGCTTTTTTATTTCGGACGAATTAGTTTCTGCGTTCTCGTGATCATTTAAAACTGTATCAAGAGTGTTTTTGTTGTGGTGTATTCGATTTGAAGTGAATAAAATAGGAAAGTGTAAATTAAACTGTTTTAATGGTTCTGGATCATGAGTCAGTGTGGCAGAAACAAGTACCTGAAGTTACACCAAAAAAAGGGAAAACAAAGAAAGGTGGGATAAAATGCGAAAAATGATACTGAATTATTCATATGGAGTGGGAAAAAAGAATGCTTTACTGTTTTCCCTAAGTAATTTTATTTGCTGTGTGTAAATTATACTACTTGTTTCATCACTCAATTTGTATACATTAATGTGCTGTATTTGTAAACTATTTACTTTATGAGTGGTTGTTTTGACCCATCTGTTAGTGAATCAAACTAATAAGATTTAATCTTTTAATCGGTCAGTCATAAGCAACGCGAAACGCGACAAGTCGGTTCAAGTTACCAAACCATATATCAAAACAGTGAGATGAAGTATTCATGACAAATTCCAGAGTAGAATCAGTAAAAGTATAAGTGGTAGTAGGAAAGTTTCGCAGAAAAAGTATAAGATACACTTAATACATAAGACCTAAGAAATGAAAAAGACTTCTTATTGTTCTAAATATATTCATAAAACTGAATTTTTAAGTTTTTGGAATGTAATTTTTTGGCTTTTAAAGTTCCATTTATAGAATTATGAGATTGCTCTAATTGGATTCTGAGGTTTATGCGAGTCACATTCATTCGAACTTGATCTCAGTGAATGCATTTTAAAGCTACGAATAAGTAAGCAAAAATGAAGAGAAATACCTATTTGAATCGGAAATGATGCCTGAAGCTAAAAGAAGTACAATTAACTCAATAGTCTGTATGTTATAATTTGTGTTTCCTTACAAGAGATACCTATTAATTCTGTTACAATTTCACTTTAATGTTGAAGTATTTCGCTCAAATTTCGTACAAGAAAAGAGATTTTATAATAGTACCTCTAAATCTCAGATTTTATGGCCATGACCAATCATTCAACGTTACATAGAACAAGTGATGAATACGGTCGAAGGTGGGGAGAGTCAGCTCCCCCTCTCCAAATGCTCTCACATGGCCATGTGTATACAGCCACTGCCAGGGAAGTCCTACTCACTGCCTTCTCGTGACGAGAGGTGTTGTTTACCAAGCTGACAGGACGAAAAGCGAATGTCCGGCGCTTTAACCAGGTTGGTGGATATGGAGGATATACCTAGGGGAGTTAGAAAACTCTGATTTAAAACCAATAGTGCTTATGAGCTCTAGGATCTTGAGGGAACAATTGGCATATGAACCTATTGTTGGTCATCAGCTACCATGGAACTACGTTTCCAGACGTTGCTCCACTGCTTTGCGGATTAGACCTTTAGGTCAAAGGATCGAGGAGTGATCCGTAAGTAAACAACTGGCTTCAGTCTGGAGGCCTATGCAGTATCAAAGTCCTCACATAAGTTGAATGATTTGTGTGGCGTATACACGCATATATATATATATACTCTTATTAGTAACTGACTTCCAGGAAGTAAATCTTCGAAAATCTCGTCAGGAGTTAATCACTAATTTAAAAACTGACATGAATAATCGCTAAGGTTAATCAAGTATGTCATACCACATAATATCACTTGCTAAAAAACGTCAACAAACTGTGTTCGTAAGCTAAGTATAGACTACTTACTATGGGATTTTAATCATAATTTAATCTAAGGTAAAATACAAAATGGTCCACACAGTGACCATCAGCACACTGAGACACCGATCCATATCAGTAAAATGTTTTTTTAATGAAAAAACATGGTGAAACTGTGTAATTATTACAAATGTAATGAGTATAAGAGCAAGTTCATATCATAATAAAACCATTAACCTTTTGCAAAGTAATATCAACACTCCTATCGTAATGATAACCAACAGTTGGTATAGGTCTTGAACGTTTGCGTACAGAGACATTGGACCAACTATTCTGACTGATTGAAGATGTGTAATAGTACAATACATCCTCCAAAGTATGGTACCAGTTTTGTTTTTCTTCCACTATCACTCGATCGGCTTCATCGATTACCTAACATACAATACAGTAAACAGATATTTAATAAAATACCACCATAAGACCTCGTAGTTAATTGTAAATCAATCCTGATCAATATGTGCACAATCTAACACAATAATATATCCGTTGAAGCTTCTGCATGTGAGTAATATAAGACAAAAAATAACATAAACGATCTCATACGACGAACAAATGCGTCTAGAATAATAATTTATTCAGGGTTTAGCGGGTGAAATGGTAAAATACCAGTTTTATGCTAGTAGCACTGATTTCAATCCACATTCGAATAAATTACTGGTAAATTCTTTCACATTTTAATAGTTATATAGGAACTTCTTGTACGAAAATCATTTTGATAATTTTAAAAAAATGAAGTCATGGCTTTTTAAGGTGGCATTTGCCTTTTCACCACCCAGTCCAGGGGTTAACATTTAAATCTACAAACATTGATTTAGCAAGTGCAGCAGTGCTACGAGTTATAAATACTTTAGAAGCAATTCAACAGTAGATGTAAATGTACAGAGTTACGCTTAAGGTCAATAGTACTAATGGCTGCTCACAATTTAATATGTGGAATGTGGTTCCAATATTTGCTACTGAACAAGCAGGAAAATGAAAATACAATAACAGGTAGATTAACGAGTCAATTCAAACGTACCAGGATTCTCAAGCGTTCCATACTGAAACCAGGAGTATTGTACAAATGGTCTACTAAACGTCCAGGTGTAGCTATTACAATATCAACTTTGGCAGAGTAACTTTCATCCGTACTGAAATTGGTATTCAATCTAATAATTACAAAGCTTACAGGTTTATGATATCTTCTTGTTCTTTACTAAAACTTTTGATACCAGCAAGAACTCCAACCTATACATCCATTCAAAATATAAAATACATTTCAAACCTGAATATCTGTTCCATTAACCAACTGACTGAAAGTTTTGTACACTTGAACAGCTAAGTCTCTGACTGGAACAATGACCAAAGCTCGAATAAATTTATGAACCCTATTAAGAAATAGCTTATTTAAGTGAAAATACGAAAATGACAAATGGTACTTGGATGATTGGCACAGCATAGGCTAGTGTTTTCCCACTTCCTGTCGGTGCGCATATACATATGTCTCTTGGTCGACATAATGGCCGATGTTTAGATGTCACATAACAATCTAACATGTAAGGGATTACAGCAGACTGAACTATAATCGCCAGCTGATGATTAGAAAGTTAGCTAAGTACCAGGAAAGAAATGAGTGATACCAATTTCACTTAGTCGCAGCCGTAAAAACTGACCAAGCTTAGCTACTTCATTGACAGAAAGAGATTGTTTAAGATCAGATGAGAAAAGTTCAGGCTTTGTAATCCAAAAGGGGAGAACTTCTTGGACCTATCGGATAAACATCAAAATTAATATATTCAGTTCACCTACATTTTGTACTTTTGATTTTGTTTTCTCATTTATAACTGTAAACCCTCCAATAACACTATCTTTTGTTGCAGTATCACGATTCATAATGGGGAAACTGTAAAACTATTGATGCAATCCCGTGTCGACATAGACAATCCAGCTAAAATACAAAGTTACGTGTAAATCATAAAGTTTATTCGTTAAGAACAACAAACATATTCAAATAGCGACCAAATTTTTCTATGTGAAAAATTAAAAACGCAATACGCTCCAACCAGGCTGAGAAGATGACCTTCAGGTTGATTAGTATGTTTCAGCAATCAGTCAGTCAGTCAGTCAGCTACAACGTAGGACCAGGCACATATGTGCATCGGTCCAGGTTGCCATACCTCATTAGCACAACAAGATGAACACCGGATTCATAGGAGTGGTTAGGTCAAAGGTTGCAATAAGGATATAGTATAGTATAGTATAGTTTCAGCAATCATCACAAAGTGATCGGTGAGTCTGTTATAGTTGACCTTGTCAACGTTATATCATCGTAATCGATCAAATCGATATATATAAATATCCCTTCTGACCTGACCAACAACTAATATAAGTATATGGAATGCCCAGGCACTGTGGGAGGCAGGAAAAACCATTCAAATATCATTGGAAATGAGAGTATAACCTCAATACGCTTGAAATTATGAAAACTGATTGCACACAAGCTGGGCAGAAAATACTAGTTTCCGGTAAGATGACGAAGAAAGTGCCCCATATATGAGTTGAGATGATGCTGTTCAAAGCACGAAAGTATTTACAGGATTAGAAACGCATAGATGAAGGATCATTAAACCACCATTCAAAGCAAACGAGGACATTACAGTGAAAGTCATCCGGTGTTACGCACCAACCAATTGTATCAGTGATGATGACAAAGATTACTTTTATGAGAGGCTGTAGTTCAGTGTAGAAAAATACCCAAGAAAGGGATATGACCTTCCTGATGAGAGACCTAGACTCTAAGGTTAGAATGGGCAACATCGAGTGCGAAGATGTTATGGGACGACATGGACTAGGAGAAAGAAACGAGAATGACGCAAGACTGGTAAGTTTATGTAACCCCAACAGCATGCTCACAGGTGGCACGATGTCCCACGCATAAAGCTAAATGGGTTTTACTGAAGCACACTAGAGAAAACAAGATGAAAATCTCCATCAATAAAAAATCCAGAAGGTCCGTGGAAAACGTAGGGACAAGGAGAAGCTGATTTAGTCTCAGATCACGGACCGATGATGTCCAAACAAAAGAAGCGTTAGAAAATTGGACCAGCAACACCCCAAGCCTTACAAGATTTACTAGAAGAGAAGAACACTATAACGAACAAGGATCAATGACGTCAACACGTCAGAAGGTGCTGGACCACAAGAAGCACCAACACAAGGAGTGAATCTCTATCAATACACTAGATAAGACTCGAAATTTTCTCATTTATTTAAACATAAACATTGGTACGAGGCATCAAATATATATGCGCCACACAAATTATTTGATTTGTGTGAGAGGTGGTCAGTCAGTCAGTAACAACGTAGAACTTCGTACGTACGTATATCAGTTCGAGTTGCCACACCACATTAGCATAGAGATGCAGTGGTCGATTCAAATCCCGTAGTGGTAGAGGTAATAAGAGTATAAGCAGTAATCGGGAAGATTAGTGTTTGGAGATGTTATTTAAAGAGTAGGTGGGATACTGACCGGGCGCTCACACCGAAGCAGGGAGAAAGGATAGGTTGCGCGTTCGAGGACACAGTCCGTCGCCAACACACCTCCGCGGCCACGAGATAGGAAAGACAAGAAAACAGCTATCAACACTAACCAAACGAGAGCAGAGAAAGTCATGTCACAGGCCGGATATACAAAAGAAAACAAACGAGTGAAAGCGAGCAATAGAGCTGACGAACGGAACTATCTAGAACTATCAACGACAACAGAGAAAGCTGCAGAAGAGGGTGACATGAAGGAGTCATATACTGCCACCAAGAAGCTATCATCAAAATATAGTAAACCGAAGCGACCAGTCAAGAACAAGGGCAAACCAATCACTGAAGTTTAAGAGCAGGTAAACGCGTGGGTAGAGCACTTGAAAGAACTTTAAAAAGCTAACCCACTGAACAGACCAGACGCCGATGTACCACAGAGACCACCCTATAAATGTTACTTCACAAACAATCGGAGAAATCACCAAGGCTATCGAAAAGTTAGGAATGCCAAAGCACCAGGAACAAACAACATGCCACCTAAAGCATTGAAGTCAAGCATAGAGGTAACTGCAAAGATGTTCTACGCCCTGATGTCAGATAAGGCTGTCTACTTTCACTCATTTCTATCTGTTTTGGTTATGAACTGGATCCTGAAGACCTCCACATCTCCGAAGTATGGAATACAGAAGACATTTTGGAACCTTTTACTACTTGTACGACGAATGCAGACATAAATAGCTAGTGTACCAGCGACCCTCACAGTAGTAAACCTTAAACAAAAACCTGTATGAACTTAAAGATTTCCCAGAAATATCCTAGAAACCTTTGGCATGTACACATTAGTTTAGCACATTTGTTTATAAGTGGTTCTTAGTTTTACTGTTACAACTGAGCATTGCAACGCAGCAGCTGCCAAAGGTTTCCGAGCTTTATGATCGCTTTGCCGAGAATTCAAATGCTATGAAGATATTTTTCGGATTTTATGTCCCATCTATGTAAGACCACACATAGAGTACTGTATCCAAATAGCCGGTCTGTGTCTTATTAAGGATACTGACACACTAGAGGGGAAAAAAAGTTAGTGAAGGGTCTTTCCAAACTCACCATGATGAGCGCTTGAAACACCTGTACCTTTTCTCCTTATCACATCGTAGAACGTGAGGTGACCTTATATTAGCATTCGGTATCTTTAAAGACTTGGGTATTAATATGTCTTATTATTTTGCTCTCTCCAGCACTAATATTCTTCCAGGTCATAGCTAAAAGGTTCAAAAATTGCAACCCAATAAACTTAAAGTAGGGTTCTGTTTTTCTCATCCATTGGTCAATGACTGGAACGCTTTACACGAACAAATGATACCAGCACCACTAATGAAAATTTTCACGAAGCTGGACCTACACTGGAAGCAAGCTGCAAGAAATAATCCAACTTCACCTGTTTCGGTTTGGGCACCCGGACAGTATTCCAGCCCTCAAGCAAATCGAATGACTTATGGTGCCTTCCTGTACCAATGTTTGTGTATTTAAATAAATAAAAACAAGTAAAGGAATAACACATATCCACCGACCTATCCTTATTACTGGAGACTGAATGTGCTTGGAAAAACACTTGTATTTGTGGTTTGAACATTTTGCAACCGGTTGCATTACAGCTAGTTATTTACATATCGATTATGGATCCAATAGACAGTTCAACAACAGGTCACCATGACCTGATGACTAAGTAATCAGTTGTAACCAGGCAACCCAGAAATCCTATACTTGACATCATAGAAGCGACCCTACAACCTCAGATATGGAGTTTAAAATTGTCATTAAGGAGAACAAATGGGAGTAGATTGAGAGTGAAACACTAAGGACCCCTGCTTGTCATAGTATACCAGTTTAAAATGAAACAAACTCGGACAGACTGCAGACTAAGGAAAACTGAAAAACAAAATTTGACAAGCGGGTGAACCATAAGAAGTTAAAACGAATAATCCCACAGCTTATCAATAGTCATATTCCAAACACTAACCCTTAATCTGTCGTTCTGTAAACAAATATCCGAAAATCTCTCTTGGCTCAAACCAATAGTGATTGTGTATCTTGGCACATGGTTGATTTCCAGCATTTTATTTAAACGACAAAAGGCCGAGGGCCTGTCCCTTTTTCGTAAGGTTCTGAGTGTCTGCTAATCTCTTAAGCGAGCCAATCAAGGGTGAGGACATCAATTCTTCGAGCAGTTAGTCCTACTGGCTGACTACTTTGAGGGAAAACCAGTACGCTACGGATATTTTACTGAACTTTATACTTTAACATCCCTTATTTACTCAGTGAGTTGTTCTGAACCCGTTAGAAGAGAAGAGCAGACACCATGGGCGAGTTTATTACTTAGCACTCCATACTTCCAGATTAGACTACCTGTTAGCCTGCCGTAAAATTAAGTAAAGAGGTTCAACTTCGTAAACTAAAATATAGATGGTAGATGACCCAAAACTTTATTCCCCGTACTTTTTCTTGGTGTTATCTTCCAAGCACGTGCTTGCCGCAAATACGTAGTTTTTAAATAAAATTTCCTTAGGGCTGTGTAAGCCATGATGAACACATTTATATCTAATTGAGTGGAAGCTCACTATAAAGTGAGTGCTATGATGCTCGTACAGTTCTAAACAATACAGCAGCAACCGGACGGTACTAGTGCCTTATCTTAAGGTAACGGCTAACTTTTATTCACAGATCATTATGGGACAAGACTGAATGCACTGACGCTTCACCTGTCATAGTTATTGCAGTTTGAGTGTCAACATGTAAACTGATCCTGATACCTGTTAACAAATTAAATCATTAAGTGACACAACTCTTAACTTTAAAGTACAGTTAACATATGTAAATTTAAAAAATATTGACCAACAACGTTTCTGGTGAGTAAATGTAAACACACCAAAGCGCTGCGTGTTACGGCATAACCTTGAGATTCGCAAACTGGCAAGGGCGAATTTGACCCAAAACTCAATGCTCAATAAATCCAGTCTTCAGTATTGGTTAGGTTTATCGATCTATATTAATCCGTGCAGTTTGTAACATTGTGGAGTGTCAATCTTTCTTTGAGCACAATAACATAAGGTGCTGATATTACGTGTTCTGGTAAATAACACCGACAATTCACTACTCGATGCGAGAAACAGAACTCCAGACGCAGACGATTTGATCTCTGTTCTTGAACTTTCTTGGAATGCCCTCTCCAATTAACAGTTCAAGAAAAAGGGGAAAATTAGACATATTAATACCAAGGTCATCGTTCAGTGTATTGCAAGCTAATATTAGATCACCCTGTATTCTACGGTACGATAACTGAAATAAGTCAAGGTGTCTCAGTCTGTTTTCATAAGATAGATCGTTGACCATTTTGGTTCCTGGTCGCCATACTCATCTCAGCATATTAGCCTCATACTTGAAACAAGGACTAACTGCTTGAATCATATATTCCAAACGCGGTCTCATGAAGATCTAAACATTTCTTCGTCCAAACACTGAAAAGACCTGCGAAAAGCACACAATACCCCAAAGCGTTTAGCGGCGGCAGCCTTGCAGTTGCTCGTTGTTTTGAGATCGCTACTTATTATGACCCAAATTTGTATAGTACATTAATTTAGGCAACACAAACCCACGTATTGTTTAACTGATACGAATCATCATAGTTATTTAATTCCAACATCACACACTTGTTAGAACTTACTTCTAGTGTCCACCCGCCCATCCATGCCACCAATGAATTGAGATCATCCTGTAATACTATTCTATCTGACATACTGTTTATGGATCCCCAAATCTTTATGTCATCGGCGAAGAGCAGAACGGTTGATTTTGTTGCCGTCGGTAATTCGTTTACATAAAATGAAAGAAGAGGACCGAGGATTATGCCCTGGAGTAAAATTTTAAAAACCGTGGATTGGTCCATGTGGAACTCCACTTTTTACAGGTTTCCACGATGAAAGAGCTCCATTTACCCTAACCCTTTGTCTCCTATCATAAAGAAAGTCACTTATCCAGTCCACGACATTATAATGGATTCCAAAGCTTTCCAGTTTTAATTTAAAACCAGAATGGCAGACCTTATCGAAGGCTTTACTTAGGTCTATGAAAATCACATCTACAGGAGTATTTTAATGTTTTGCCACAACCCAATGTTCTCTTACAATAAACATATTTGTCACACATGATGTGCCATTCTGGAAACCATGTTATTCACTATTAAAAGATTTTGCCCTTCCACATAGTTTATAACAACCATCCAAGTAATCTTTTCCATCAATTTTACAGCTACACTGGTTGAACCAGCAGGTCAATAGTTACTAATTAATTCTTTGCTTCCACCTTATACACCGGACTAATTATTATGTCATTTCAGTCCCTTGACAGTCAGGACTACCACAGAGACATATCAAACAGCATAGCCATAGGTTCAGCAATTAAATCCGATGGGGTTTTCATAATCCTGGGATGAATATCTACAGGACTACTGGACATATCGAGTTTTAGATGCCGAAGTAGTCTTAAGACTACCTTTCTCAATGACTACAGAGTCCGTCAATAAGCCGCTACAATCATAAATAATCATCGGTCGTTCATTATTAATGATAAGAAAACAATTCGCTAAAATGTTCTGATAAAGCTTCGGCTTTTTGGTATCATCTCTTGTCAACACAATCGGATAGTCTCAGCTCCTTTCTGAACCACCTCCGTTTGTCAGCTGTTCATCCACTCATAATTTGTTCACACTTGTATTATTAAACCTATTAGAATGCTTGTAGGATTACGGTCTACTATGATATTAGTACTGCTCTAATAATAGACCTAATCCTAAATTTGTAGATTTGTCATGATATAACTGCCTAACCTATAAGATCTTACGTGGAAGTCACACCATCGACTACACCAACTCACTGTATCGTATCAATTACCAATACATGGTGTAGAACAAGGTTAGGTTAGAGAAAGAACAATATATTTAATATGAATAGAAGATATAACGTAACATTGAGATGGACCATGCCTGCATGGCCGAGCCATGCCATACGGTCAACTCCAGTCCCTTCAAATCATTGTTCGCGCCTTCTCCATTGTTGGGTATTTATCCGCGTTAAATATTGAATATGTATTTTCTGAGTAGTCTCGTGTTCAGCTTTGAAGATTGTGTGGTTATGGTCCAATGCCACTACACTACTCTCCCACCAGAATCAACGTGATGTTGGTTCGATACCGAATTGGATGGGATCGTCGCGCGCCGGAGGTTACCAAGGATAATAAGAATCCTTCGGGTATTGATAAGCTGAAAGATAAATCAAAATGAAGGCGGCAGCACCTGGTCGGGAAATATATGTAATAATTTTAAAATATCTGCCTTCATGCTTAAAACGCTTGAAATGAAAATTTGGGTGAAGATTATTTGAGCTATAAAAAATGGGGTTACAATAATAATAATAAAACGATGCGTGTTAATAACTTAACTTATAGGTAGTAATTATTTTGTGTTTAGAAATATTCAAAGTAATCAATATTGTAGAATTGTTAATATCGGTATTAGTTTTGGTTTAAATTATGAAACCAATTAACAATTATGCCGGTAACCCGTCCATATGTGATTTCCAATTGCATCTGTATTAGTAGGCTAACTGGGAGAACAAAAGTATTACCATGGAAAAGAATTCCGACTAGTGTTCCAGTTAGTTTGATACGGTTTATTTAGTTACGGGGAGATTTTCTCAACCTCATTTTTACTTGACCGTGATAGAATTTAGTAATACTACTAATACACATGAATGTTCATTAAAACAAAATTTAAATACGTGAGTGATGATTATATGAATTTTGGACAGATAGCTAGGAAAAATCGTTAAACATGAGTGTATTCGTAAGAGACATGCTCAAGACTCAATGTTCTGATCTGTGGCAGACTATTTATTTATATTTATACTTGCCGGCTGATTGGGCATACAAGTTAGTTGCAAGTATGCAGTTTATCATAAGGCGGAATACGATTTAATTGAGATATAGTGGTTATAAGTTATTAAAATCAGTTAGGCTTGTGTGTCATATTACGAAGTGATGTGGTGCTGCAAGATGTATTTAGCTAAATAAGTTTTTACAAGATGATTAATAGTGAGTGATGCTCATGTGATTATCAGAGAGAACATAAGTTGTAACCAGGGGGAGTACACTCCCAACTCATGTCTATGATAATGGCTTGAACCTTAGTCAGTGTTGGGGTAAATTCGACATTGATGTTTTCAGTTTGCAGGAGATTTGCTCGACTGCTTATACTGATTATTTGCATGCATGATTGTGTCGCTAAACCATCAATTAGACTGACAAGGTTTTGAGATATTTACTGAATGAGCATCTGATAGAGAAACATACTGTAATCATCTGTAGTGAATGAAGATAAAAGAAAAAACAACACTAGTGATAATTATAAGTCAATTTGTTGACCGATTTCGTTAACAGTTTCATTAATTTTATCAGTCATATTACGTGATTGTCAAGTCATGACAATGCTTTATGACGATATTCTGAAACTATTATGTTTAACTAGTTATAGTGTTGATTGAGGATTAGTCAGTGGAAAAATAGGTATTGTTGCTTTAGGCGATTCAAAATTATCAGAAATTTATAACGTTAAAGAATCCGAGACGCCTAATTTAATTATAAATTTTAATTCAGAAATATTCGTTTAGTGTTAATCCTAGTAGGCTACGGAGTTTTGATTTTAAACGTTTGTTTAGCCAACAACTACCTGAGGATTTAGTTATTTTACTAGTGCAGTTAATAGTACCTAAATTTTTAATCTTATTATCTAAACTATGTTCGCATTTTAGGCTGCTAATATGATAAACCAATCCATAAACTCAAATACGATTAGTAAGAACAGCTACGATGGGTTTATTGATAAATGTTAATGGCGATTCAGATGATTTCTAAATTTAGAAGACATGAAGATATAGTGCAACGCATGTACGGGCCAGGTTAACAAGCAGGTTGTTGACGTATATGACAATTTAAAAATAATGAACACGACCAGACTTCTTATGAAACTTTAGGCAGGAATATGACGCGTTATAACTATTCCATAAGAAGTTACTGGATTTAGCCTAGGGACACTTACAAATATGTAGCAAAAGCAACTGGAAAATATATACATGTTAAGTACAAAACAAATCATCCAGTAAAATAGTTGAACTCGCCTGGATTATTTTTGAAAATTAGATTATTCAGTGGACGACATATATAACGCCATTCGTGAGGAGTAGTAATGATCCAAAAGCATCCAGAATAAAACATGCAGTATGGCAATCACTTCCAGGGTGCTTGATGCTGTTGAGGTTTTTGGGACTTGCTCTGATCAGAACAACCGAATGAATCCAGATAATTGTGTGTGCCATTGAATGAACCATCTAAAATGACCTTATGATTGCAGCAAAACTTATAGCTGGAACTCACCGTATTTATTTGGAGAAGTGTCATCCTTGTTGTTTGGCAATGGAACTCGAGAATATGAAATTAGGCAGGCAGTGGTCAGAAGAAAAGATATTACAGGATAGTGCATAGTTTAAAACAGGATGAGGTGTTAACCGAAGGAACACTAAAAATTAGATCCAGATAACTATTCAATCCTTGATTGCCTTGTTAGTCAATGTATATTTACGCTATTTATAGGTCATATTTGCTAGAGCTTGATGTTTGAACAAGTCTATGTCGCTGAAGCAGGTGAATGCTATTAAAGCTTGTTAACGAACCATCAAAGCTAATTAGTTGATATAGATGATCAACTTTTATTATCGATTGAGCCAGTAAGTTATGTGAACTGATAGATATAACATTACGATAATATATGTGACCATTAATCAAAGGAGTATTAGAATATTGGGTTTACAAAAAATAAAAACCGATTGAGAAGGTTAAGATGGAAATAAGGATTAACAATAAT